TTTTTTAAATATGCATAAGGAGAAACTCTAATTTTAGAAAACATTAAATCATTGGCAAACAGGAACAAAAAAAAAATCCATTGTTGTTCCATAGAAATCTTTGGGGCTTTATCAACCAAATTAGGGAGAGAAAATTACTTAAGATTTTAAATTCTCCTTTTCAAAATGTAGTGAAACAACAAACGTCTTTGTGTTTGCTGAATTCTGACATTAGTATCCAGCCACCAGATGGCGCTGTCAGCTCTGTGTTTGAGAGGTTTTACACCCCAGTCCTGTTGTGTTGATCCTGTTTTATTTCTCTGTATTTATTTTCCATCTCGGACTAAAAACTGCTGCTGTTCTCCTTTGTTTTTGAACTGTGTTGACTCAAAGTCCTGTAAACAAAGGCTGTTTTGTTTGTTATTTATTTGCAAAAAGGAGCCATTTTATTTGAACTACTGTGATCATTTGTTTTTTTTTTATATCTATACTTACATAGATGTAAAAAAGGAGGGGAAAAAAAGCACTCACTGTAGCTTGCAAGCTCACGTCTGAGAGCGGATCTTGTGCGTCAGGGTTCGGGAACATGTTACCAGTTGTTGTGTCCAAGTGTACAAAAATCTTTTCGCTATTTTTTTAAAACTGTGTGGACTTTTTCTTTTTGTTGTTGGTTTCTGGGATATCTGAAGGACTGTATGTTTGCGTGAGTGGAAGTTAAAATGTACAGTTGAATGAAGCTGAACCAAACATTTTACTTTTCTTTTTGTTCATGTTGGGAACTTTCCTCGAAGCTTATTTGAGGTTTTTTAACCCTCAGCTTTTCATTTAAACTTCCTGCATAGCTTTGATTTTACCCCCCAAATGGGGGGAAAACATTTTTTTTAGCTTGATCATTTTTAACAAAACGTTTTAAATTCCCCCGCCTCCCTTTTCTGGTTTAGAAATGTTACTTGTACCCTGTTGACCAAATACGTTCGAGTAAGTTTATCTAAAGCTGCTTTCTGGCATGAACATTTTAAGGAAAACCTGAACGATTTGGAGTCTGTGAGAATTAGATGGGAGGATGAATCAAAGCTTTAGCTTGGTGAGCTAAAGTTGCTGCATCTGAATTCAGGCGTTACAAATTGTGAAAAAAAAGTGCATTCAATGAAGCATTATGGCCTGCCACACATATAAGATACATGTCATGTATAGTGCATGTGTATTGGGAAGAAAGGTGTGAAAATTACATTTTCTGATTCTTTCAGTTTGGGCCGAAAGTTGGAAACTTTACACTCCGTTATCTAACATGAAGTCAAACAATAATTAGCTGAATGACTTATAAAATAAGGCCAGCTTCCCTTGCCTGTGAGTCAGTTCAACCATTCGGCATGCTGATGTGAGTCAGTCTTCATCAGTGCTGACAGTGTCCACTTGCTGTAGATTAAGTGAGGTAATTATTGGGAAGTTTGACTGTATAAAATTGCCCATCTGGAGTTTATGTGTAGTATGTAGGGCGTCTCTGAGTTGTGACTCATGTCTGGGGGAAGAAAACAAAAACCTAACAGCAAGGCTTTCAATAATTTTCCTACGCCAAATGATAACATATTTGAGGACTTTATTTCATGTTCATGCTGCTTTATTCCTTCCTTTTATAATATATTATCTTCCTTGCCCCTAACATATCTTTAACCTTTTTCTTTTTTAGTTTTTAGTAGTAGTAACTTCTTCCCTCCCTCGTTTTTCTTTTCGTTTCCCACCTCATAGCCCTACTTTCTCTTCCCTCTTTCCTCATTTGCACTCCTTTCTTTCCTTTCTTTTTTGTAGATTTTACATTTAACGCCTGCCACAAAGACACACTAACCTTCAATATTTTATATTTTGTAGTAAAAGCGAAGGACTGAACTCCAGAAAAGCTGTTTTTCTTTCTCCAGCTCCCTGGAGATCACATGACAAATGCAGCAGTTTTGGACGCTCAGAAAGGGGAAGCTGTGACGTCGTTAACATGAAAACAACAGGCAGGAAGCACCGACAACTGCTGAGCCGCAGGTTGTAAAACGAAGCTGTTCTGCTGCGATGGGATTCGTTGACGATTGGAGTAAATCTCTTTTGACCAAGCTCTTAACATCCAGATCGTCTCATCCAGTTCGAACGTCTCTAATTCGTTTCCCACAACCTAAATTGGTGGGAAAGAGAGATAAACAGCCCTGATAGGAAATCCTGAAACTCACGGTTCGATTTAAGAAAAAATTAAAACTAAATCCAAGCTGGAGCAAAAAAAAAAAAACAAAAAAAAGTCCATTATGTTCGAGTCCTCTATGCAATCCAGCAAGACAAATGAGCAGATGATTCGCCAGCACAAACAGTCGTGTCAATAGCTTAAATGTCGTCCAAGTCCGCTTCTTTTTTTTAATTTATTTTAAATTTATGTTGGTCTGTATGTCAAATAGGGACAGAGCTGCCACTACTGTAAAAAGCTATAAAAAAAATCCCACTATTGGCCTTAAGAGGAGTCATTTGTGATGGAGTGCAACACTCCAATGACCTATCAGTGACCAGACTTTTGTTTTTTTCCTACTTTAAATAAAATCTAAAAGAAACACACACAAAATGCCCCCAGCAAGTTTTTTTCAGTTTTTTTCTTTTTCAGCCCATTCTTCACAAACCAACACATTGACCATGCTTTGGAGCATATACTGTTTGTCAGGTCATTTATTTATTTTTTTTAATATAAATCATGACGATATGATTTGTTATGTAACAGCCTGTACAACACAACATACCGAAAAACAAAACAAAACAAAAAAAAAACAAATTAAAGTGTACAAAGCAGCACTGGGCTGTAAAGAACCCATGTAGTAATAACATTTTTTTCACATTTTTTCTTTTAATTTTTTTCCCCCCTCCCTCATCAATGAGAAGATGGCTGAGCTTCTCTGACTGAACGTTTTAGTGTTTGACGCCTCAGCTATCAACCTTTTATTTTCCATGGACGCAGATTGGCAAAAAGGAAAAAAAACAAAACAAAAAGCTGGTTGTAAACAATCAAAGCGGGTGTTTTGGATCAACGAACACATGAGTGCAAATCAGTCGTGGAGTGAAGCGGATGCAGAGCCCTAATCGACAACATTCACATGTAAACACCGGCTTATGGAAAGCCAACATAATCAAACACAGGAAGCGGAAAAACTGCCGGAGGAAAGGATGGGTTTGACTTGGAGGCTGATGTTGCACCTTTTGGCTTTATGTGACTTCAACAGGGAGGCATTTTGGGATTGGAATAAAGAGCATAAATTTAGAAGTAGGGATAAATTCAGCTGAGCAGGGGCAGAGATAGACAAGTACAGTATGTGGTTCCCTCATAGCATTTCAGAACCACAGGACCAAAGGGCCAATTCACTGCTTTTAATCAGCTTGAACTAAATGTCTAATTTGAACTAGTTAACAGTGATTTTTCTCCGTGAGAAAAAAAAAAAATTCAACCAAATCTGTTGTAGTTAATCAAAATCTAGCGTTTTGAGTCGCCCACTGTATAAAATTCAACTTCTTATAAATACACAATATCCTGATACAAGACTGAGTTCGTAAATGTGACGATTTCAGATTCCTTAAAAACAGTGAAATTGTCCTGCATTTATGTGCAGAATGCTAAAGCTAGCCCAATTAGCATCAAGTTTTTCTAAGCTAGCCCAATTAGCATCAAGTTTTTCTAAGCTAGCTGACAACTCTGGTTTTTGACTTTTCAAAATACATTTAAGATATAAATATGTTTTTTCATTTTTCCACTTACAAATCACCTAAGCTTTTAGTTTTTCCAAGCACATCAAACTTTTCTGAGAATCTTCTGAAAGAACCGGAACTGAAACGTGAGCTAACCCTTCATTTAAAAATGCAAAAAATTATAAACATTCAAACTCAGTCTGAATCTACCTTCTGAGATTTTCTAGAACTTGTAAAGCACAATCCAGAGTTTCTTTTCTTTTCTAATGCCAAAAGGTGCAGCGGTGATTGTAAAACACTGATTTCTAACACCAGATTTATTTCCATTATTTCCTTAAAATGAGGAGTTGGGTCATGTTTGGCCCCAAACCAAACAGTAATTAGAACTTAAATTTGGTTTCGTTCACCTCAAAGTCTGAGCTCAGATGTGGGAATGATCGAATTTCACAGGAATCCATATTAAAAAAAGCGAGACATATGGATTGAAACCATAATGTTCAGAATCAGCACAAAACTGTCTTATTTAACAAAAACACCTCATAGGTTTTTTTACATACTTGCCAGCCATGTTTAATTTAAGGTCTCAAGAGCCTCATTTTTGATGATCCCATCTGGAAACGCAACAAAACGCCCCTTCTCTCCGAAATGAAAAGTTCTCAGACCAGCCCGGAGGTTAATGATACCAATATGGCTGCCAAGTGAATAAAATGATGAGTTGCAAAACTATACTATTAGCACTTTACACAGCTTGTTTCCCACTGAACCAGGTACTTACATAAAACGGATCTGAAAAGCCTGGTATTGTGAGAACCACAGCGATTGGGTCATCCCACAGGCGATGACAGCGTGCCGATTGTCACTCCAACATCCGACGTATGAGGTGAATAAAAATGCTGCAATACGCCGGATTTCATGGACCTCAAGACTGTGACTCTCGGAGCATGAGGCACAAATACAGATCATTTCTGTAACCTACACTGAGAGTGGAAGCCATATTTGATTGGGGCGGCTCGTGGACTTGGGATTTCCATTCGTTTTTGTAATTCAGATTTTCCCGTTTCTGGCTGGAAATGCTACATCAATGGCCCTTGACATTAGAAGCTTCACGGCAGCCAAAGATTAATACTAAATATGACATTTATACACAACACAGTGGTTTGCAGCCATGTTGTGGCTCGTACTGCTACAAGATGTTAGTTCCGCAACAACGGCTAAATCCCCACTGGTGACGACAATGCTCGACTTTAGTGTGAAGCCTTCAGCTCCAAAACTGAGATTGGATTTCCAAGAAGAGTGGAATGCAGCACATTACTGACACAACGTGAAATTGGACACCGATTTTAATCCCAGTCGACGGCAGCCATATTGCATTTGATCCAGTTGTTCTTCCTGGATGAACCATGACCTCCAGACGGAGACGTAACCAGCACAGAAACACAGGTTCCACTTTTTCCCCAACACCGAACTCAGAAATTCAGACTTTGAGTCAAACAAATATCAAAATTAGGTTGGTCAAAAGCCATTCCCATATCTGAGTCCTGTGTAGACCGGCAACATCAACGTCTGTTCACACGGAGACACGAAGAGGACAGAGACACAGTGAAAGACAGGCGTGTAAACATATCAGTCCCTCCCTCCAGTTTGAAATTCTCCCTGCTATCGAGGTCACAATCACGATGCTCTCGGGCTCATGTTCAGATTCAAGTGTCGTTATTTTTCTACAATGCTGATAAAACACCGTCCCTCTTTTTTTTTTTCATTAAACCTACCTTTTAGTAATTTTTTTTTTTTGTGAAAAATTCAGAAGTCAAAGGTGTTGAACTAAGTGCCAAACTAAAAAAGCTACTCGAGGATGGAAGAACAAAATGACGGGAGAATGACAAGAAAAAAAAAAAAAAAGAAGCTTATAAACAAACATGTTGCGTCGATGAGAAGTTTAAAAATTGTCCACTAGTGTCCGAAACATAAAGTGCAGCCAGTGTCTGTTCTCGGTAACGGCCGCTGCTCTCCGCCGGTAAAAGAGCCGAAGAGCGAGCGGAACAAAACAAAACCCAAAGATGCCGAGTTGTCGACAGTCAATTCAGGACCAGCCGTATTCCAGAGTGGTGACTTGCTCAAGGCAAGGCTTGGATTTGGTTGTCTGTTTATCAAAAATAACCAGAAGCGGCGCTCGGCCCGTCGCCGCCGCTTACGCCGTTCACTCCACCCGAATCAGCAGTCCGTAGAGAAGCGTGCCGCCCTGCTCCTTCGTGATCCACTCGATCTCGGAGTTGCTGAAGCGGGGATCTAGAGGCTCGCTGTGGCTCAGCGTCTGAGGTCCCACCTTGTAGGAGCCCGGCCGCACGCACACCTGGAAACCCACCTGAGCCTGGTGGCGGTGGTGAGAACGCGGGTCCTGAAATCTGCAGGAAGAGCAGAAGAAGAAGACCCCTCACTTCCTGCTCAGGTTTCTACCGTCCCGACGTTTCCGCGCGCTATAAACTCACTGCACTTTGGGAGCAAACGTCTCCATGCCGGAGTAGCGCATGGTCGGGGAGAGCCGCACTCTGGGAGCCTCCCTGCCGGGGGCGCTGTTCTCCTCTGGTTCGGTGTAGCCGTTTGGACCCTCCGTCTTCACCGGAGACACCAGGAAAATGGACGACGTTCCTGCGAAGCGAAGCGAAGCAAGAGCGATTCCTTAAAAAACTGCGTCGCCACAACCATCAAAACAAAAACACAGGATTTGAGCGTTCTACCAGGCAGCAGCTGGCCGTGGTCCAGGGTGCGCCTCAGGGCTCCTACGTTGGTGCCGTGATACGCAATGTGCCACTTCTTTAGTGCATTGGAAACCTCACAGTGGGACTTGACCCTGCAAAATGAGGCAGCGTGTAAATAATAGCTAAAAACTAACAAACAGAGACACAGGAACAGATGCTAATAACATTTATTACAGCAAAAGATCCATTTTCAACACAAAGGATTATATTTATGATACTTTACCGCCATCTAGTGGTTAGAGTTGCACCCAATCATGCTTCATTTAGCGTATTTGCAAACTAAATACTGAACTTTACATGTGTTGCATGTGCTCTGATCAAATGAATAAACTAACTTAGAATCCATTTCACAGCAAAAACACAACATCTAAATGCATTTAGGCAGAAAGAACTTAAAATATTAGATCATAAAAATACAAAATCTGTGAACAACCATTGTATAGATATGTTCAATATTTTTCTAATTGTTACTGCTCATCTGTGCTTTGGGTGTTTTTATATGACTGTTTTTGTAAATAATGTTGTTGTTTTTTTTATAACTTTCTGATGCATGTAAGCCACCCACACTTTCAGCCCTAACTTGAAAATGCTTTTTACTCCAACGTTCGACACATTTCAGAGATTTCAAGATTTACCGTCACAGCGTGAACAGAAAAACCTAAACAAAAGGCCTTTTTGCAGCAGCTTCCCACCTGAGGGCGAAGCGGCACCATCCGAACGGCAGGGCGTAGTCTCGCGGTGGCTCCCCTCGCTTGTAGTACGCCTCGTCTCCCCGCAGCTTGTGGCAGGACTCGCAGTAGCACAGATTGTACTTTGCATCTTCGTTGAAGTAGCCGTCTGGAGGCAGAACGGAAACGGGACGCGACGTTTTCACACGTTGGGACGGAAAAAGTGACGAGAAGTCAAAGAGGTTGAAGTCAAACCTGGTAGAGTGAGCAAGTCCTTGAAGCGGGAGCAGAGCGCCTGGTACTCGCAGGTCTTGTTGGGGTTGACCTCTGGAGGGGGCGTCCAGCACACGCTCTCCTTGATGCCTGCAAGCGCCAACAGAGAACCTGCTGAGGAGGCTGAAGGCTGCGGTGGAGTTGGGAAAAAAGGAAAGCGGGAGGTTTTGTACCGTCAACCATGTCTGCCTTCTCCATGTCTCCCTGGAAGCGCCGGTCGCCGCTCTCTGCACCCACAGCTGGCACGTTGTTGGTTACAATCGTGACCTGTCGCCATACAAAATAAATAATTAAATTCCTTTTTTTTCCTTTTTTACCATCAACATTTTGGTCTTTCTGCTTGATTTAATGGTGACCTATTATGCATCCTTGAGCAGGTTAGAGAAGTTCTGTAAGCTAAACATGTTTATTACAATTTTTGCAAAAAGTTATTCTTAAATAAGATTTTAGTCTGGTCAGTTCTGCCTACTTGGAGGTAATTTCAGAATGAGATGTTTTAGGGCGTCTTGTCATTAAATCCAAATAAGTTGCTGCAGGCCAACTCCACGTTTACACATGAAAATAGCTGAAAACAGAGGCACAATTACACAACTATACATCTTTGAAATGCAGAAGTGGAGCCTCCTGCACAACCAACAAGGATGCAGAAAGTGGTTTCTGGACGGTAAGTCTACAACAAATGGCTGCTGTCTTTTCCAGCAGCCATTGTACGAGGCCCTTTTTTTTTTTCTTCAATAAGCCAACTAATAATTGCATAAGCCAATGTGTCTGTTGGAGGGGGTATTAATCTGACTAGCTGTTTCAAGCCTAAAATATTGTAATGAATCTTTTCCAAGTTCCTCTGCATCTACACAAACCTGTTCACACTGGCCGTACAGGTCGATGAAGGGGTAACAGGGTGAGGGGATGTCCTGCGCCGCCACGCCCTGGTCCATGCTGTTCACGTAGAGATGGAGGCAGTTGTTGGTGTCCACCAGCAGACCCAACACTGTCCCCTCTGGACACGTGTCCAGGTTAGGACCGTAGTTCTCACATATCTGGAGGGTGGAGGGGAGCGAAACGGAAAGATGAACTCAAGACGACGGGAGAAATGAAAGGCTGTTGTCGACTAATGGGCACGTTGTGGAGCGTTTACTTTCAGAGAGTTGTGGAAGACGGAGTCGCGCTGCAGCAGCCAGGCGGAGCGCTTCAGGCAGCAGGCCGTGGAGGGGAAGTTCAGCCGGTCGGGGGAGTGGCCTATCACCCCTAACGACAGAGACGACGTCCACGACGGGTTCAGACGATCGATCTGAAACTGGTGCCCAAAGAAAACCGTGAGACATTCAGTCAAACTGCAAATGAAAATGCAGACAATTGTATTTATTTGACTCCAGCAGAGCCACCTGGAAGAGCTGCTGGCGCGCCAGCGGCTGGACGGTGACCAGCAGGCCCTGGTTGTAGCTGGACACCCTGGCCGCTGTCAGGTTCTGGTTGGACAGCTGGATGTTCTTGCCGTGGTTTTCCAGAAACATCATGACCGTCGGCACCAGGGAACACGTTTCACTCTCAACCTTGATAAAAAAAATATATATACATACATTACCCAATTGTGTATCATAAATCTTGTTTTGTTTTTCTCTTTCCAGCCTCTAACCTCTCTCACGGGGCTGCTGTCCTCCTCCCCTTCGCTGCAGCTGTCCGAGGTGAGCGAAGGCGCCTTGATGCTCTCCAAGTCCTCCATCAGAGAGGAGCTGACGATGGACAGCGCCGTTATCCGCCCGTACAGGTCCAACACGGCGTACACATTCTGCAAGAAGCCAGAAGCCGCTGCTCAGTGCTAATGTTTAGATTTGCAGGTTTCAGCAAGTCAAATTTAAGTCCTTTTAAGGCCAATTTCAATAAATATAAAAAATGGTTGGAGGACAATGCCATTGTAATGCAGTTGTTGCTGTGAATTACGATAAAGTATCGCAAAAACTGAAACTTTCCTTTATTCACGTTTGAAAATTTAATCAACCATCTGACTCTTCTGTGTTTTTGTCCTTTGAATTTATTTTGTTCAAATCTTATACAGAATTTTTAAAAAAGTGTACAAGATCTTCAAAACTTCAATAGAAATCATTTCAGAGTTGAGAAACTACGAGAGAAAAATAAATCAAATTTTATGAGGGAATCTGAAACTAAAGTTATGAATCTTATGCGAGAATCGATGCGACACTAAATATCGACTCGGTATCAATATTGGTGATATTTTGGATCGATCAGCCCACTTTAACTCGAATTTGAGATTAAATAGTTTGAGTTTAATCTCAAACTATTTAGATTAAACAAACAAACAAAAAAAAAACGTAATCTTTAGGTTAGATAGTTTTGAGAGCTGCGATTAACTTTTTAAATGAATTTGAGACATTTAAGGCCTTCATTTTAATGTAAAGCTTTAAGGATTCGGACGTTCTGGTGTTTGTACCTTGGGGACTGCGGTAGCGGCAGGTCCCATGTCCTGCCCGTCGACAAAGATGTGCATGGTGTCGTCGTTGCACCTCTTCACGCCGACGCGGTTCCCCACCTGGAAACACATCCAGACTAAATTTCCTCTGAGCTCTGGAAGTGAAAAGTAAATAAATCGAAGGCGGGTGGCGCCGCTCACCGTCAGCCGGTCCAGCGAATAGCCGTAATTCTGCCGCTGCAGAACGCCGTTGCGCTGGACCTCGGAGCCGCAGAGCAGCCAGGTGACCTTGGTGCGGAGCTGTGGGAGGGAGGGAGAGAGGCCGGACAGCGGGCAGGACGGCAGCTCCGGAGGCGCCATCGTGGTCAGGCCGATATGCAGAGAGCCGCACCACTGATCGTCCACTTCGTCGATCCTCACCTGCACGAAGAAACCGGTGAAGAAGATCCGACCTGCTGGCTGCCTGAATCTTCATTTTCCGAGCTAATCGTGAGCAAACCTCAAACAGCTCATCTGCTTTGAGCTCTTTGGCGCTGAACACGATGCCGTGAGAGTAGCCGCCGACCCTGATGGCCTGGCAGCCCTCGCCCAGCAGCACCACGTTCTTTCCATGCTTGCTGTGGAGCCGATGGGCGACGCCTGCGACTGCAATCACAAAATGAAGGACATTAGGACGCAGCTGGACGATTTCACAAAGCAGCGTCCAGAGAGAACCTCCTGAGCACCTGGAGAGTGGATGGGGAAGCTCTTCTCAGTGACGTTACTGGTGCAGAGGCTGTTGTCCAGCGGGCCGGAGGAGCTGGTGATGGAGACCTGAACGCACTGACCGTACAGATCGATCACAGCAAACACCTCTGGAAGAGACATGAGAGTTACAGGTAACACCCTTCAGCTGGCGTGCAGAAAACTGGCTCTCATTTTGTGTCATTTTTGTTGGCGAGTTTTCCACTGGGCCCTGGTCAAAGTGTTGTCTGATTGGCCAGAAGGTTGCGGCCGTGAACTCGTCCGCTTCCACTGTACAGTTTTTGTATTTGTTTTTGTAAAATAATCATTAGTTGAAACAAAATATTAACATTGCTGAGCGCATTTCCGCGTAATACACAGCCAAAATTCTGACCAATCAGGCAGCACTTCACACAGAGCCCTGTCAAAACATTTTGATCCAACACTGGCGTCGACATTAGCATGGCGTCGATGTCTCTCTGTGAACAACATTTCCGTCAGGCGTCTACGTCGATGAGAGTTTCATCTCTGTGGTTGACGTATGCGGGTGCGATAGTTTTTAATCAGACAGCTAGCGGTTGCTCTCTACCTGCCGGCAGACCCGCGCAGGCGACGCCCTGATCCACGCCGTTGATGTAATAATGGAGGTCGCCGTTGGCGGTGCGCATCATGCCGATCCGGGAGCCTGTGGTCAGGGAGTCCAGGTCGCAGCCGTAGTTGTTGCGCATTGTGTTGCCGTCCTGCATGATGGCGGTTCCACTGGGGGAGGAAAAACAAAAAGACATGAAGTCAGATGTTTGGATCTGATTTGTCACTTTAATCACTTGTAAAATATGACATCCTTACCTCAGCATCCAGGTGTCATAGTCTATGTCGGTCATCGTGTTCGGAAACTCCAGCTCGTCCGGTCTGATGGCGGTCACTCCTGGTGGTACAGGAAGAGTCGCAGATCAACGTTGGGCAGCGGACAGAGTCAGACCGACCGGATTAGTCTGAGGAAACTAAAACATCTCGTTGATAAGCAGAGGAAAATCCCACCTGCTTCTATTGAACCTGACCAGCGGTCCACCATCTTCTGAATAACAATTTCAAAGAGTTCTCCATCCCGAAGGCACCTGAGGAAAAAATAAAATCACATCTTCACCGCAACATTTACTCATAAATATAAATTGATACACATTATAGATACCATATGGATAAATAATCTTTTACCAAAAGAAAACTAACAGAACACCAAGGAATAATCCTCACAGTGCAGTTCATTTTTAAAGAAAGCTGGAAGCACAAAAATTGGGCATGAATTCAAATTTTTATCAAATCAGTCATCAAATATGCAAACTACAAAAAGCAGAAAAAAAGAGGGGATAGATGGATAAACAGACAAATTGATGGATGAAAAGATGGATTAAAGGGTGGATGTGAAAACAAGTGGCTGCATAAATGCATTGATGCATAGAAAAAGGGAGCGTTGAATTTATCCATATCACATCAAACCCAAGGACTAAATGGCAACTAAAAAGGCTATGAAAAGGACAGTAGGACAGCAGGAACCCATCATCAACTTTAAGCTGTATGGTGCATTTCTACATTGAAGCCAGTTTAGGTATTTTGGTCTTTAGGGAGTTATTTAATCAAGTTAAGCAGAAAAATAAATTGGACTAACTTTAAAGCTGCTGTAATTTATTCTAACGGTCCTCATTAAACAAGACAGCAGAGGTTCCCTGATTATAGTCTCTGAGAAAGACAAAAGTTATGACGTTATCAAACCCTGATGAGTTGCAGCATAAACCAGGAAGGAGAAGTTTTATTTCACCTCATGAAGTTTTACAGTCATCTCAGTTTCAAACATCAATGCTGCTTCAATGATCTTTGATCTGAAAAGGTTTCATCTACAGCTGAGATTCCGATCATTGATGCCGTTACCTGTTGGAAATGACGATGGCGTCGTTAAACTCGCTGCGGCAGTTCTGACGCAGCGCGGTGCGCCCCCCGTTGGTGATGACGGCATTGGTGCCATGCAGCTGGTGGAAACGCAGGTCAGTGGAAGTGGAGGCCCCCGCCACGGAGCAGGGGCTCCCCGGGGACATGGCGGTGGGGCCGTCTGAGCTGTCTTCTGGTAGAGGAGGGAGGTCCACTGGAACCGCAGACACACACAGCAGGTCAGGCGCTCCTCAAAGCTACCATCTCTGATGGACCACCGTTATCGTGCTGCTCCTCCGGGTCTCACCCATGTCGTCCATGATGGTGGCCTGTGCCGCCTGGCCGTACAGGTCGACCACAGCGTAGACGCTCGGGGGGACGTTCCAGGCCGCCGGGCCCTGCGCCACGCCGTTCACGAAGAAGTGCAGGCTGCCGTCTTCCTTCCGAACAACTCCGACCGTGTCCCCGGCCTGCAGGCAGCAGGAAGGATGATGTTTTATCAACTAAAACATAATTTAACAGAAAGACGACTAATTCAAAATAAAGAAAACTCCTCTCACTTTGAGCCGATCCAGGTTGTGTCCGTACTCATCCAGAATCGTGGTTCCGTTGTGCATCACGCCGTTGCCCGTCATCATCCATGTCCCTGGAAAACATCCCACAGGAAACGGATCAGGCATCTCTGCACTGAAAACTCCTCAACTTACAGCTGAGCAAAACCAGATAACTACATCGAAAATTAATAATGATAAAAAAGATGAGAAAATAAATTGCATTTCATTATATTAGCATAATCTCACAATGAAAACCTGAGAAATACGAACTATGAACAATTTTTTAAGAGATAATTAAACATAACCACACATAGTCACAGCCAGTACAGTGATATAATACATAGTGATATAAATATGTGCTCGATTCTGAGAGACTGTGGACTTTGTTTGGTGAAAAAACTCAATTTTAATCACCTCTAATCAAACACTCCAGCGGGCTTTGGTGCAAAACAAATATGAAATACATGGAAAAGATCTTTGTTTTCAGTGTCAAGTACGGTAGAGGAGTTGAAATGTCGTGGGTCGGTTACTTTTCAATAAACTCTGTGATCATGATTCCAATATCAAAACCTTCTCGACTCCACCAAGACACTGAAAATGGGACGATGGGCCTTCAGCTGCAAAGACGCAACAATCTGCTCGATTTCGTTAGACAGAAAAGTTTTAAACTAGTTTGACTTATAAACTGAACTCACAGCGTTGTTTGATAACCCGGGCTATTTGGGGTGTAATTAAATGACTCTTATTGTAAAGAGCCTTAAGATGACATCTTTTCTCAATGGGCGATAAACACAAGACCTGACTTGGTCTTTACGCTGAAGGATGATGTGAAACATTTGGCCTGTGGATAAACACAGAAACGGTAGACGCAGAAATCACCATTAAGCCACAAGCGTCTCTTGATCTCAGAGAAACAATGTGACTGAGCTGAAGAGAAGAAACGACCTTCAGGGTCATGATGAGCAGCGCTTGATGCTTTCCGTCATCTCACCTGACCGCAGGTTCGTCATGGTGGACGGCAGCTGCAGGTAGGCGGGATTGTGTGTCGTGACACCAATTTCGATGGAGCCCGCCCATTTGTCCACCATCTTGTCGATGCGGACCTGGAACACCTCGTTGGAGCGCAGCGGCCGGCTGCTCAGGACCACGCCGTGGTTGAAGTCATCAGTTGCACTAAAACCATCAGCAGAACACGTGTTAAAATGAAATCCTTGCGGCAAAGATGACAAACCAAAAGAAGAAGCACTGACTGCGGCCGCAGCGCCGTCCTGCCGTCGCAGATGATGGCCGCCTTCTGTCCGCAGTTGGGGTGAAACAGGAGACGGTCGGGTCCTTCTGAGTCCGGAGTGAGGGCCAGAGGGGGCCGCGGCCGGCCGACGTCTGGCGACAGAGCCCTCATGATGGCGTTGTTGCGCCTGAGGCGGTCGCTGTGGTTGTGGTTATGGACTATGGTGACTTTGACGGCCATGCCGTAGAGGTCCACCACGCCGTAGACCACGCTGGGAGTCTGCGCCGCGGCCACGCCTGCAGAGCAACAACACATCGTGGTCAAATCGTCAACCCGGCTTGCTGAGCGCCGACGCACTGGGACCTGAGGAGACTTGCCTTGATCAATGCCATTGATGTAGAAATGGAGCGCACCGCTGGCTTTCCGCATCAGCCCTATGTGATCCCCCTCCTGCGATGACATGCAGCAGAAAATTGAAAAACAGGAAAACACAGGCCATGCATTTCAACTGCAAGAATCGTGGAGGGTTATTTAGGCCGTTCTTTAAAATCACACGTTATTCCCAGTGCAGGAATCAGGGATGAACCCGACTACATCAGTAAACAGCAGAGGAAGTAATGAAGTTTTCCTCAATTAGAAAGCGTAATCACTGCGACAGCAGAACCACCAACCATAGTTTTATTACTAACAATTAGCTTTTTAAATGTCACAGAAGGAGCTGGCTTTCCCTCTTAAACATTGACCAGGATTTTCTGATACACTCAATCACAAAAACCATTACAGACACAGATTTACACAAGTTTTAGAATAACTTTCCTATATTGGTTTGAGCCTATGGCTCCAATTAAAAATTATTTTAGCAATCAATTATTCTGACAATAAAATTGGAGCCAGAGTGCTCAGGCGCTAGGGCAGTCATCCAGCCCACCGCTAATTTTTGGGTTAAAAAATGTTTACAGTTGACAGGAAATTTAAAAATGTCTCTTGATAGTTATGGGTTATTGGAAGACTGGAAGATTAATAACGAAATAGCAACTAAAAAGTTTTAAAAAAGGCTACGAAAAAACCCCTGAAACAAATAAACAATGCAGAGCCTGGTGGAGGCCCCAAGTAAAGCCTGGTGGCCCACCAGGCTTACAATACACTGTGGGAAACCCTGTGAAACTGTCTAAAGATGTTTCCTTTAACCATTTAAGCCAGTTTACGCAATATTAAAAAAACATAAGATGAAGAAGCTTTTTATTGTAAACACAAAGTTGACAATTATTTCAAAAATCGATTAATCAGATTAAAATGATTCATTGAAAATTGTTTTTGCAAACCAAATGGATTTGTTCTATTCAGGCTATGAAAGACCCGTAGAGCAGCATTGTTCCTCACAGAATCAGTGGCTGCAATAGAGGTGGACGGTGCAAACACAAACGAGACAAAGCCAGGATACAAATGAAAGGTTCTGGGTGAAAAACGTTCCGATAGAGGAGATGCATGTTCCCACCGACCTGAAGTTCATCCAGGCTGAATTCACAGTATTCCCTACGAGTCCCTTTCCCGTTTGTTAATATCCCACAGCCACTCATCATGATTGTACCTGATAAAGACAGAAAAGGTTAAAAAATGTTCTGATAAGTGAAGAGTATTGCCTCTGAAAGCAGGGCGGTACCTGAGCGCAGATTGGTCATAGTTGCAGGATAGTCCAGGTTGTTGGGATTGTGCGTGGTCACTCCAATCTCAATTGAGCCCGACCACTTGTCCACCAGCTTATCGATGCGGATCTGATAACAGAGACATCGTTAGCTGTTCAGCCTGAAGGCAGAAGACGGCGGAAGAGGACTGGGCCGCACCTCGAACATCTCGTTGTGCCGGAGCGGCCGGTTGGTCATCACCACGCCGTTGTTGAACTCGTCCAGAGGTCTCCGCCGCTCCGCCGTCTTGTTGTTGTTGCTCAGCTTGATCAGCGTGCCGCACTTCTCGTGGAACAGCAGCGCGTCGTTGGTCATCAACCCACCCGCCCCTGACCCCGGTGCCGCCCCTCCAGTACCTGCAGGGCTGTTGTTAGAGTTCCCACAGTCTCCGCCCCCTCCCACTCCGCCAGCCGTCCCTGTGCTGCCGTCACCATTAGTTGGAGCTCCGCCTCCACCGCTGCTCCCTCTGTCAGCTCTGGAAGAAGAGTCCGTTCCTGCATCGCCTCCTCCTCCGCTGTCCTCCCCTCCTCCCTCGTCTTCAGAGCGATAAAATGAAACTATTGCATTGTTAAAGACGTCGAAGAGCTGGTGCTCTGTGAGGACTGAGCAGGGACAAGGAGATAACGGCTATCAGAGCAGATCAAGCTACAAAACCCATGAAAGTCATGCTTCCTTGAAAAGTTTGGGATAGGTCTATAAGCGATTCAAAACATGTCAATTATTCTTAGATAATGAGATTCCAGTCTGGTCAGTTCTGTCCACTTTGCGCTCTTCAGAATTAGAGCCTCTTGTCACTTTAAATCCAAATGGTCACGCCCCGCAAACATCTACAGGCACACACGTGAAAATGGCTGCCAACAGATGCGCATTTCTACATGTTTACATCTTTGAAAAGCAGAAGTAGAGCCTTCTGCAAAACCAGCAAGAATTCAGCAAGTGATTTCTGGAAGGTAAGTCAACAACACAAAGCTTGTTTTTTCCAGCTGCCATTGTAATATGCATGAACCAGCTGGACAAATGTGCTGGAGCTCCACTTGGGTTGCTAGGTTATGGGCTGAGCTTTGCTGCGGTTGCTAGGTAACATTGTGACTCCACCATCAATAGGTTTTTGAAACGGCTCATTTTCCAAACACCAAAGAAAAATGAACTAAAAACCGTCTGGGTGTTTTTTAAGCACCTGCTCTGTTTTTAGGAGCTGCTGACCCCCAAGTTGAAGTATTTTTCATACTAGGTCCCGTTTAATCAGATAGGGCTTTACTCACCAGCGTCAGGCTCCAGGTTATTGGGAAACTTGTCTGGCCGGCTGTTGCTGCAGCTGAGCTCAGGCACTGAGGGGAAAACGTTGAAACGGGACATGGAAACGAGCCCAAATGACGGCGGCAGGAAAACAAAGTTTAAAAACAGCCTTACCTTCATCTCCGTTCACCATCCCATTCATCGCTGCCACATTCATCAGCGCTGCAATCCCCCCATCGTCCCGACCCTCGCGTACCACCACCTCCTCCTCTTCGTCCTCCTCTTCTTCCTCCTCGTCGTCCTCCTCGTCCTGCTCCATCGTCTCTCTCTCCCTCTCTGCGGAGGGCGGCGGCGGCTCGCAGCTCACCACCGTCACTTGAGTGCACTTCCCGTACAGATCCACCACGGCCCACAGCTTGGGCGGCAGGCCGCTGGCGGCCGCGCCACAGTCCTGCCCGTTCACCCACAGGTGGAGCTCCCCGCGGGAGCTGCGCTGGATGCCCACGCGGTCGCCCTCGGCCAGCTGGTCCAGGTCGCGGCCGTACTCCTCCAGGACGGAGCGGCCGTCGCGCAGCACCGAGCAGCCCGACACGACCCAGGAGCCGCCCTTGAGCCCCGTGGCGCTGCTGGGGAAGTCCAGCGAGGCCGGGTCCAGAGCCGTCACGCCGATTTCAATCGAGCCGCTCCAGGAGTTCACCTGATGGAGGGGCGGAGGGAAAGCAGTATTATTATCACGTCACAATTTAAACAAAATACTGCTATAAAACAACCTAAATAAACTTTTATGCAAAATAATTCGGCAGCAATTCTACAGCATCCACACCACATGATGAGAGCAGAAAGAAGAAGAAAACATCCGTCAGCAGCTTTTATGGTGATCATAAAATTTATTTTTAGTAGCTTTGCTCTGGAAGCAGCCCTTTGAAAAACAAGCAGATAGAGATGAAAATGCAGCTAAATATAGGATCCTTTCACAGGGTTTGGAAAAGTCTGTAGTTTGCTTCCGAAAATTTCCAGATGTAGATATATTCATACACATTTCGTCACGAAACAAAATCAATTTTTCCAGACAACTTCCGAGAAGCTCTTAGTGTTCAGGTTAAAATATAAATTAATTATGTTCAGAAAAAGGGATGGAAGGAAAGACAAGAGAAAGGAAGGCAAAAAGAAAAAGGCAGAGAGAAAAGGCAGAAGGAACAGAGGTAGACAAATTAAAGTAAAGGAGGACAGGAGGTAAGGAAAGCAGGAAGGATATAATGATGAGGGCAGAAGGAAGGAGTGGTGCTACGACAGAAGGAGGTAAAGACAGAAATATAAAAGGAAAGCGAAAGTAGGACAGAAAGGAGGAAGAAAACCAAGATTCACAACAACAAAAAAGGGGGAAACAGGAGAGAAGGAAGGAATTGTGGTAGGGTACAAGGACGAAAGGAAGAGGGAGAAAGAATGGAGTAGAAAGCAAGAAAGGAAAAACAGGAGGAGGAGAAGCAGTGAGGACACCAGGACCCAGGGTTGGACGGATGCAACCTTTGGAGAACTTGTTTACCCGGACCAGGAATATGACTTTGAACTCAAATCGCCTCGCAGACAAACCGGAATCCATTTCTCCCCAGAAACACTAAACTCATTCTAAGCTGGATACAATCTGATCCTATTGATATCTGGGGGGTAATATTTCACTTTCTCATTGCTCCACAGTGGCAGCTGAGACACAGCAGCGTAGAGATTCACACGTCTGTTCGTACTTGTACGTGGAAACGCGTCGGCCGAACCTCGACAAGCTTCACGGGACATTTTTCTCTGCCGCTTACAACCGAGACGACCGGAGACGAGATGAAACGCTCCTTTCAATCAATACTTTCTGCTCACAAAGAGCTGCTATCTAAGCCAGCAGTGCTTCTCCAACCAGGGCAGATCTGGGTTAAAAAGAAGAAAAGAGAAAAAGTATGGAAGGAGCTGACCGGGTCACCAACATCTCCTTCACTAGTTTATGCGGCCCTGTGGGCGTCTTCTGCGTCTCTGACTCACCATTCAGATAAATAACTAAAGGATCTCAGTGCTGCTGAGAAACCGGGCAGCTTCTAAAACCATGAAAAATTAATGGGGTGTAAATTTCTAAGAAGCGCAGCTAAGAATAAACGGTGGAACGGCCGAGCTGAACAAACAGAATTACCTCCAGTTTGGACTAAAGGAAATCAGACTCATCGCTGCTGTTAATAAAAAACACATTTGCTGCATTCAAACGTTGATATCGCATGAAGACTCAAATATGTCTTTGCACTGATTTAATAGAACTTTATCTCTATTTGCAAATGAAATGCTGCAGAGCGCTACAGCGCCTCCTTTGACGTTTTAATCTCGGACTTCAATGCGTTCGGCTGGGATGCCGTGATCTGGATGGACACAAAGCAGCGCATGATTGTGAAGTGAAAGGAATTTATTTATTTTTTTGGCAAACAAAAACCTGAGAAGTAAAACACGTGGTCCACTTTTTGCTGCCTTTACATTAGGGAAGGTTTCTACCACCTGCGCACACGTAGACATGTAAACTCTCACCTACTAAATTTTAAACAAATGCACGCCACACTTTTCAGATAGTTATCTGTAAAATATGATTTAGGCTCTGCTTGACACTTTTGCATGACTCTGTGTAAGTCTGGCTGTAACAGCGAAAACACGGAAAATACTGATGGGAGTGTCAGTTTTCTCAAACAAGACCCTAACATATCAACTTCCTGTCAAACTCATTTTCACACGACGACGCCAAATGCTTTCACTGCGTCCGGCTGTTTGTATTTACCTCCCTTTCTTTCCCTGCTGCTCGTTCACAGAGTTTTCAGTCACTCAGCAGCCGGCGCTTCGTGATGGAGGAAGAATCGATTTTCATCCAGTCATGAGAGTCCACATCAGACGCCGCGTCGTGAGGGACGCATAATGATTTACACGCTGCTAAGTAGCTGCCATTAGGCCAGATGTTTTCTGCCTGCAGAAGCTCTGAAAACCTCTCTGTGTGTCGGAGGGGTGCGTTGGCATTGTCACAAGCTCACAGCTAATGTGTTGTTAAAAAGCTCTGCTGTGGAGATACACTGCTGCTCAAAACTAAAACATTGTCACCGACATAGAAATCAACATTCAAATCCATAAGTACTTGAGATACCCCCTAAAAATCTCTCAAAGTGCTTATTTAAACAATAAATATACCTTAATATACATAACTAGGCACAGTGGTAACCGTTTCAGCACTACAGCAGAAGCTGATATTTACAGTATTATCTCTTTAGCCAGTCAACGCCAAGAAAAATGATTAAGTCTTCTGTATTCCTGCTTTATGTATTTTAGTTTAACAAGCTGCATCTTCTTTTGAATATTTTAGTCAAACTCTACAAAAAAAAAAAAAATTCAGCATCACATTCCACAGAAAAATAAATACTGAACCACAAATATTTCTATCGTGGTGTGTTTTCAAATAACAAAAATAAGTAAATTATCAGAGATGCTCCACTCATGTGGCCTGAGATCGACATCAGTTCATTTCCCCTGGGTTTCATATCAGCGGATCAAATACCGAGAAGAAAACCTCAATTACATTTTCTAAATCTGATTTTTTTTAAATTAGCATAAAAAAACAAAAACAAAAAGAAAAATAACTTTCAGTCTGAAAAGACTAACAAATTCCTAAACAAGAACATAACCATCTATATGCCTCAGATGTCATAGAGGCTGGAATGTAAACGTAATCTGTGAGAAGCAGGATTGTTTTAATATTTCATGATCACTGTTACTATGATATGTAGACATACATGAAGTGATTCAACCTATAAAACATAATCTGATACACTAAGTTAATATAAGTCAGATAAAGGCTAGAGTTATATGCAAAAATGGAAATAGTCTTGAAGATTTTTCAGTTTAATTTAGAAACTATAACTTCAGAGAGGGAGCTCCATGCGTTGTGCTACTCATGGTAAAAATCAAAATATGTGGGTCAGATTACAAAAAAGTAATTAAAAACTGGAAACATGAGCGTGAGTTTCATTTATTTCACACAAAAAAAAACGGCTGGAAACTTTTACAGAACTTGGGGCCAAGATTTATCATCTTACATAATTGATCGTTATGATTTCAAATCAGGAACATGCTTCAATATTAGGGCTGCACACCAACAGTGTTACCGTGACAGCATAAGTTGCATTAAATCCTCCCTTTCCTCAGTGCAAGCTTGGATGCCTGTCTGTGTGATCTTTGGGCACCAGGCTCCGGGTCAAGGGTGGGTCTCTTCTGCAGAGACTCCATCCAACAGGCTGAATATATTATCATCACGAGAAGAGACAAATCCTGACACTTGGAAAATAGCAGCATGCAAATATAGACAGTAGTTTCTGGTACTGAATTAACTAAAAATGCAATAATCTTTACATCTTACTTTCAAAGAGAAATGCTTGTTTTCTCCAGAAAATATGAACAGAGCAGAGTGATAAAACCCCAGTAAGTCATGACCACAACAGCAGTAATGAATGAGTGATAACAGGCTGTCATTAACAGCAGCTAGCCCTCGCTGTTACAGAACCATAAGCCCCGCAGAGCCACCAGGTCACACCGACCCCATCAGAACAAAACTGTTTACCAGCCGAACTGAAGCTCCTGCTGGGCACAAGTGGAAGCTGTACCTCCGGGTCCATGGACCCTCCGTGGTATCTTCCAGAAAGGCTCGCCCCGAACTACCCCTGCTGCTAAGGGCTCATTAGCGCGGCTAACTGGCGGCACCGAAGCTACTCGGGCCGGTTACCGCTCGTATAAGTGATCCGTTCAACGTATATCCATTCTGAGGCTCATTACCAAGCCACTGCTCCCCCTCTGAGGGCTCCCATAATGTCGTGCGCTGACGCAGGGCCACCACTGAGCACCGCGGAAGCTGTCAGCCCGTTTGGACGTCGCTGGGGGCGGTTGAAGCCCCTCACTGCGGCCAGAGACACACAGACATACCCCCCACCCCCCGGCTCCAGCGGCGCTCTCACTCCGCGCAGGGCGGCCAGCCGCGGGCCTGCGCTTGTTTACCTTCTTGTCAATGCGGACGGTGAAGACATCCCGGTCCCTCAGGGGCTCCTTGCTGAGCACCAGGCCGTGGTTGAACTCCTGGACGGGCTGGTTGCGCCGGGCTGTTCGGTTCGAGTTGGACAGGCCGATCAGCTTTCCGCTCCGCGGATGCAGCTCCGCCGCCATCTTCAGGGGGCGGCCAGGATTCACGACACCTCGGCTTTGCGACAGTACCCTTATCTTAGCGGTCGCTTGGTTGTCATGACACTGCTGTTTTCATCAACTGAGCTGTCAACGGTGCCGTATGAAAAGTAATGGCTCTGGTAATCGAGGGCATATTAAAATATATATACAGATAAAATAAAAATGTATATTCGTGGTATGTTTAACTAATTAAAACATGTTTATATGTTTCTCATATTAAATTGGAATATAAAATGCAAACATTTTTAAACGCAGAAATCATTAAGTAAAACCTGACTTCATTAAATGCGTATTGAATTATTTCATACTCCTGTATTCATACCATCTCGCCATATGGTCACAATGTAGATGTGTTTTATTTAGTTTTTGTATCAGTTTTGTCTTTGAGAGTAATCATTGTGTAAATTATGAACTTTTTTTGTTAGCAGAATGAAAAATGTCTCTCTAATTGAGACTATTTAGTGAGAAAAACGTCCCCAGGATTTATAATCGAGTTAGAAAGTGCAAGGTCTCTCACCCCTGACCTCAGAAATCAATATGACTTCCTTACAAGTAAAACTTTGTGACATTTGAAGTAAAAAAAAAAATGTTTAAATAGAGTTGCGATCATTTATATCTCATTAATTTGTTGTTGTTGTTTTTACAAATTGCAGAATTATACGACCACCACAGCAGAGAAAAGCTGTTTCAATTTACATTGCTAAAAATAATGAGAGTAACTGGAACTGGTTAGTTTGGTATGGTGCCATTAAGTTCAGAGGTAGTTAATGCAGAATAAGAAACAGGGACTTGCTGTTGTCAAATTGACCACATGACTTTGTTTATTGCAAGCAATTAAAACAAAAGTATCTTTACTGCCACAGAAGGCAGCCTTCGTACTTGTGCCAGAGTTTGAAAAACTTGGCCCTGTGTAAATCTGGCATGTATTTCCCCTAACTGGGTTCAACCACTGTATTTGATTGACCACGACAAAACTCTATTTAGGTTCTTCTTCACTCTGTTTTCTGTTTTTTTAATAAAACATAAAGTGCTTTTTTTCGGCCTCAAAGCTGCAGGTAAATGTCAAATTTTGTGACAAACATGTTTACTTTAATTTACTACACATTTCTTATTATCTCAGGGCATTTTTTAAAATGTTCATGTTGCTTTAAAGTCAGTGACGTAGCTCTTACGTTGACGTTGCCTTCATTTGACCGTTAGAGGGCGCAATATAATCACCTAATCATTCATCCGTGGCTCTTATTGCTGAAATCAAAAACACCTCTGCATCATTTTCCCGTCGTTTAGCCTTAAATCCACCGGCACAATTATTATTCACTAGCAATCCCTTAAAGGAGAATCATGTTTTATTCACAACCACACATCCAGGTGGTTTGTACCACGATCAGAAAAACTCTCATGTCTGAGATGCAATCAGGAGAAAGAAAGCAAACACACACACACATCCATTTATTTTTTTAATTTATTGAAGATTTAAATGGCAATTATTTAGGTACATATTAAGGTTAATTGGTAAGAGAACTGAGTTATGCACGATAAAACCTCGGCGCTCTGAATGTTGTGTGGTGGAAAAATACCGAAAAATGTAGTGGACAGCTTATAAGGCGACCGGCTCCTGAGACTGGATGAGACGCAAAGCAGCAAGAAGTCGTGCACAGATCATTTGTGAATTTGTATAGCATCTGCAAAGTATCTGCTGCAAGTAAAATTACCTAGGAACCACTTTTTGGTACCTTTCAACATTTTTTTTTACTTTTTATTTATTTTTCCAAATCATGCCCGATTAGATAAATTTGACTTATGGCCTCTTGTGTGATTGCTTACATCAAGCTATGATGTACTTTATATTTAAGTATATTTTTGTTTGTTTGGTTGTTAAATTTTAGTCATGCCACAAGCTTGTTAAACAGCGCATCTCTTTGTAGCTGCATATTGTTAGTGTCTTAGGTTGGTGATTTTTTTATTTCTATCATTTACATACTTTTTGTCTGTTATTCTGATTTGTACTTAGACAAATCAGTTATTTTCTTTAGCAATTAATCACAATACTATGGAAACAGTTATCAATCATATTATTTTTATGAACTAGAGACACATGAAGTCCTTAACAGCCGACATCTTGTCCTCCTCCAGCCCGATGCATGTTTTCTACACCGGGCAGCTGTGTGAAGAAGCTGACATGTCTTTGATGGCCGAATCCAGATCCAAATCCTTCTGCTGGATTTTGATCTTCTCCAAACATCCTCGGAGGAAATTGGACCCAACCATATCTTTAATGCCACCTGAGGAGTGAAATATGGAAAGAACGCATTACAGTTGACTTTTGTTGATCCTTTTCTGGCTTCAACATCACAGTTCGTTTTACTCTGTTCTCTCTTTGTGAATAGTGAAACCAGTACACACCTAGAAGACCTCCAATAGCGAGACGGCCCTCTCTCAGCTCCGTCAGATATTCGGGGGCACTCAATGGATCGTAAGAAAACGTCGCTCCACTCACGTCATCGAAAAATTGAACCACTTTCACCACATTCTCCAAAAACGTAATCCTCAGCTGCTTCATAGCGTTTGTCAGAACGTGTTGTTGCTTCCCGATGGTGAAACTAATCTCCTGCAACCCGGAAACAGAGACACAGAAATCCGTGTTTGTTACAGATACATTCAGAAGTCACTGAGAAATATATTCACGCACATTCGTGTTATTATTGGCGTCCACGACTGCCAGCAGCTCTCCTTGTGAAGACATGATGCTCAGAATGGTTCCCTCCATCTGAGTGAAGTCCCCCCAAAACTCAACTCTGAAGCCAACATCTTTGATCGTTTGGAAAACTACAAACAAGCGGGAAAAAAATCACACTTCAAACACAATCGTCACTGAAACGCTCTTGGAGTTGTCAGCACATATTTCCACCTAACATCTGGTGTTGAGCGCAAATACCCAGACTAAGCCGAACATGTCAGCACATGAGTGGGTGTTTAAGCTCATCTGCATCTTATATAATTCAGCGCGGCGTCACCACCTGAGGTGTTGAAAATGGTGATTCCTTCGCCAGCGAAAAAGCTGCCAGGTTGGATGTTCTGATGGCAGAGCCAGAGCTCGTCGGCGTCGGCCTCCCAGGGCATGCTGAGGTTCAGCCAGTGGCCTTCGCGCACGCAGCCGTCCATCTGTGGCTCAAACTGTAAATAAACAGTCAATAGGGCCTTCAGAGGAACGCAGTGCCTTTGTCACAAACTATAGTTTCGTTTTTAGTATTTTTAAGTGAGTATCATCAAAATTACAAGCCTTAAAATTTTTCACTCCGAGTGAATCTACATGTTATATGAGTTTCAATTCCTCAGAAGAGTGTGAAAACATTGATAATTTCTGCAATATTGCATTGCGCCTGTACAGTTATTTGCATGGTTTCTACTATGCTTACTAATGTGTTAGAATAGCCAAAGTCCAGACCTACATTAAATTGAAATTCTGTTACATTACTTCAGAACTGATGCTGACAGAACCTTGCAAAAGGGAATTAACAAAAACTTCAGTCTCTACATGTTTAAAGCTGGAAGAAATATGACCCAAAGGACTTGTGGGTGTAATTGTAACTAAAGCCAACTCTACAAAATACTGACCCAAAGGGGTTAAAGACACATTCAGGCAACAGTGTGCAGAATATATTTGTAAGAAAAGATAGAGACTCACCTTCAAACTCCAAAACATTTGGAAAGCACTGCTTAATAGTCAAAACACATTAAGAAACGTACAGGAATATTTTTACGATTGCTTGTGAGAACGCTACTGTTAAATAAGTCCAACTAGTAATTTCAGTAAAAAATAAAATAAACAAACAAACAAATAAAAAACATCAAGAGAGACTGGTGAATAGTTTCAGGGCAATAAATATAAACTACCTCAACAATCAACTTGTCCTTGCTGGTCAGGATCCCACCAAGGGCCAATCGAAGTTGACCAGAAATGACCTCCTTTGTCTGTTTGGAGTGCATTCCCACAACCAGTCCAGGCAGGCCGTCCACCTCCAGAATGACAAACTTTCCCCGGTTGCTCACAACCAACTTCGAAGAAAGAGAAAGTCGTGAACTGATTCCAAGAACAAACACCTTCCTGTATCTGACTGGAAACTCACCGTGTGCCACTTCCCATCGTTGAGCTTCGGACCCCCTGTCACGCTGACTTGTACGTCTTCTTTGCTGATCTGCATGAGGGGGAACCCTTCTTTCAGGGACAACACAAACCAGTCCTCTCCATTTTTGGTGTCTCCGTAGAAAATCGCCCCTTCGGGGTCAAAGGTCCGGAACTGAAAGGTGGACTTGATGCTGCGCGATGCGGATAAAGGAGACACATGGCTGCCTAATTCAAACGTCATAGTTGTGTTTGACAGATTCTGGGGAAGTGTTTTAAATCTCCTCATAATGCCGTGACTAAGTGCTGCTCACCTGCGGATCTCGGAGAGGTTGGCTGTGGTGCGGATCAGCGGACTCCAGGGGTTTCTCTCCTGGCCGAGGTAGATGATTGAATCCCCAGATACCTTTTTCTGGAAGGCACAGGCGTGATGATAAGGCTCTCGGCTCAATTAGCACTAATGCATTGGCTCTGTTTCTGCACCGTGAATGTTCATTGTGTTTTCCAATCATATATGTTGATCGATTAGAGGCTAAAAGCCTGTCGATCAAACCCAAAACATAATTACTCCGTAACAAAAGACGTAAGGGCAAATTCTTAATAATGCCCTGTAATATGGTGCCGAATCAATGCTGATGCCACTCATACACACAGGTGAAGTTGAAATAGTAAAACTCAAAAAGAAAGAAAGCAAAGAATACAACAACCAAAATAACCATTTGATTAATGACTTCAAATAGAAATATTTGCATACAAATATTTGGAGATTGGATTCATTAAATGACTTTTTCTTGGTGTCGGTAAGAAAATATATCCTTAAGAATAAAAATGTGTTAGCCGCTTTTAGAAAAAAGGGATTTGTGTTTGGAAGACAAAATAAATACTTTTCCAAACTGATGATTATTATTATGCTACATTCAAATTTTAAAGTCTTCCTATCTCTGTGCATCTATCTGTCTCTCTGTTAATGTTATTTGGCCTTGGTTTAAAAAAAAAAAAAAAAAAAAACGAAGGTTCAGCCCCTGAATGGACCTGATGGACTCATTGACTTGGATTCAAGTCAATGGGTCCATGACAGTTAAGGGCCTTTATAATCCAAGTACCAACACGCTCACATAAGCTTGTCAAAAATCTTTACATTTGCACCAAAAAGAATATCATACAATATCTCGATAGTTTTTTTTCCTTCTCATTTTGTTAAAAAAAAAAATTGTTATGTAAATGGAACAAGTTGCCTTTTTTGAGTGCACTGTTGACCAAAGTCCCAAGTCTAAATAAATGTCTGACTCTCTTTGACCAGGCCACGGTGAGTAAATCAAAGTATTTCAGGTCCGTTTCATTTTATTCTTTTTTTTTTCACATTATAATTTTAATGTTAACTTTCAATTTAAATCTACGAGCTTTTACGTCACTCAGCAGTGAGTAAAACTGACGCACGCTACAGGCCCCAAAAATATATATAAAAAAATACACTTAAAGGCGTCATTCTCGCACCAAGCCTCGCACGCACATAATGGTCAAACGACAGCGTTACATACTTTACCGTTCCCCTGTCCGTCAGCTCTCCGCCCCGCGAGGCAGACGGCTACCAGCAGTCCACCTGCCACTGCTTTCCAAATCATCCTTCTGCCTCCCAGTCCTCCCAGCACGCGCTCTCCGAAGCCCCGGGCTGGTCCTCGCGCTCCCAGCTTTCCCCGTGGGATAAATAGCGGCGGGCGGGATTGCCACAGCGCGCGCGCGCGCGCGCGCGCGTGTGTGTGAGCGGAGCGTAGGTGAGTGTTGGCACGGCGTCGTGGGGTCCAGAGGGCAAACGCACGGAGAGCGGGGCAGCGGAGGCGATCGATCCTCCGGAGGAAGAGTTCCGGCCGCGACTAGTGAGGTAGTTTAAAGGTTGGTGGGCGGGAGTCATATAAAATAAAAAGAAGAAAAACTGTTCAAATAAAATAGTTATGTTGGATTAAAACACACATTTAGATGTGTATTATATATATGTATATAAAAAAAATCATAAACGTGTTGAATTCGGGGAGATTAAAGGAACTGAAACGAGGCTCCGGGGTCAGCGACCTCAGTGGGCCCACTGGTGTGTGTTTACCCATGCTGCAGGAACCTGATGCACCCGCTTCTGGCCCCTGATTCGCCTGTGTGCCTGCGAGACTCCAAGCCACAGCGCTCTGCTGTCTCCTTTCTGCCTGCTGGATTCCCCTCGACACCATCTCCTTCCAGGAAGCCAGCGATAACTGGAAAGTACTGGGAAAAAGAGCAACTGACACACAAACAGCCTCAATCTGCTGCTCGGCTGCCGAGGATTAGGAGCTGATCTGAGAATGTCAAATCAAAGCTGAACATAAAATTCTTCCGGCTCTTCGCTGTTCTTACAGAGCAGCACCGTTTAACCAAAGCAAAACTGTTCTGAACGTTGATAAAAGTAACAGCAGGTGACGAAGATGGTGTAAATAATACCTGTTTTTGATTCACACTGCAGTGCAGCTTTCCCAAAAAAATAAATAAATAAAAAAATAAAGACCTTAAATGCACCAGAAATCAAACACATTCGTTTTTTCCTCTGTCATTTCGGTGCATCGCTACTAACATTTGCACTGACAACATCTCTCAAAGCAGTTACTGTAAAACTGTAAAAGCCGGGCGATAACCTGCAAAAGCAAGCCACTTGCTCAATACTTGATTCCTTTATTGACATAAAGCAAGTATCAAATCACCATGCTTACAAACCAGACTGTCAAATGGCTTTGCCGTGTTTTCTTTGCGAAAGTTCACTCAAAGTTTTCCAGCACAAAATATCAGATATTGGTGCCATTACCTACAAATGCCCATGGAAGCGTTTCAGTGTTTGCACAGCCATTTGAAAGCTATGCTAAGTTACACATGACTATATTTAGGGAGGTCATTGGGTACAACAAACTCAATGTGTAGACTTTACAATTTTACCTCATGTGCTCTTCGCAGTTCTACAGTCGCTTTGGCGAATTCCTCAAATCGTCCTGCGTGTTTGCGAAGCAGCGAGAGCATTTCTCCGAACAATTTGTACAAATATCAAAAATACCATAATCTACCTGCGAAAGTCTTCTGACTTAAAAAAGGAGACTGGAAAGAAATGCAACAAAATGGTTAGAGGTGCCATAAAAAAAGAAAAGAGATCTTAATGTAGCTGTAAAAAAAGTGTACCTAAAATAACAATTTGGACTTTTTAAAAAAAAAAAAACGTTTTTATAGTGAGATTATGCCAGTACAATTAAAATCCCAATTTATTAATCATTAGGAAACTCCCAGGTCAAATGACAAAAGTTGTAAACCAGCATTTAATGGTAGAAAGTCTTGCGTAAGCCGTTAAAAAAAACAAGTCCAGACGAGCTCTCTTTTTTTTATTGGGTCATCAGGTTAATACTTTATTTTGTTTGATTGCAGCAAAGAGAAAGGAAAGGGAGACAGAAAACAAGGGCAGGAGGAAGGAGGAAGGACAAGAAGAATGTCAGAAAAAGGAGACTACAGACTTTGGGAGAGCTGTGGCTACAAGCCTTTGTATCAAATCTAAAGACAAAGTCGTCAGGCAACATTAAAACATCTTTTAAAAATAACATTAACATATTCTGTGGGCTCTATATGGCACAGTATTACCCTAGACATGTACACGATATTGAAACAGTTTAGCCACACTCCTACATCTATGAACAGCTTCATAGCAGGAAAAGCCATGAAGTCTATCTCCAAACCGTATGAAGAAAACTCTCCTTTACCGTTTAAATTTCTTATGCCATAACAAGGCACCTTAGCAGTTGAAATCTGGCAGATCCACGTCTTACTATAGATAGTTATTTAAATATCAAAGCGGAGGCACATTCATTTGAACTAAAACATACAGTAAATAGTTGTATATTACCACCAGATTCCAGTCCAGTCACCACGATACGTCAATTTTGCATGCTTTTGGTCTGTTTGATAACCATGATGGCAAACTATGGCATAAGAAATGGGCCAAAAAACACAAAAAGTGTCCATCTATAGGAATGGCTTGAGACAGTGTACTGGAGACAACAAGGCTTTTTATTATTAATTTAGTTCTTTTTTTCTTTTTCTTTCTTTCTTTTTTTTTTTCTTTTTTCTTTTTTTACAATGAAACTTAACTCACAGAAGAGTCCAAAAGAAATGATAATAATAATAATAAAAATAAAAAAAACAGAAACAGGTGGCCAATAAACTGCCAAGGGATACGCTGCTCGGGCAGATTCATTTTGGTTTTTCGTATTTGCACAGTCACACACTCTCGCAAAACTCATAAACAAAGAAAAAAAAAAAAAAAGGCTTGTAACCACACCGGAGGGGATCTGTGGCGCTCCCCTGCAGTCGGCCACATTGTGTTATTTAACACCTTTAGTCGGAACCAACAGAGGCGTACGTGCACACACGCTGAAGTACATGTGGCTCGTTTAGAGGAGGTGCAGCGAGCCAGAATGTGCGCAAAGACAGGTTATGAAAAAAAAAACAAAAAAACAACAACAACAAAAAACTTCTAAAAGACAAGAGGCTATTTTTCTTCTGCAGCCTGAAGTTTGACAGCGATATGGAAGATTAACAGAATTCCAGAAAATAAGGAGTTGGAAAAAAAAAAAACATAAAGAAAACCTGTGCACACAAAGCCAATTTGCTGAGGATATAAACAGTTAGGAAGCGAGTGTTGCTCATGCTTTGTGGATAACGAACCCAAGTTTACTGACATGTTGCTAGGACTACTGTATATATGCATACCAGACGTTATACGGTTCTTCAACAGGTTACTTGTGTCAAAACAAAGGAAAAAATAAAAAAAGGAACTGAAACCAACTCTACCATTAATGCAGCTGTACTTCATTAACCTCGTGACTAAATTTACATTCATGTTTTTAAGTTTACTCCCCTCCCGCCCCACATCCCTCCGTTCACTGAAGCCACTTTCCATCTGGTAAGAGGGCTAAACAACAAAAACAACATAGTTTAACAAAACCAACACACGGAGAACTTTACACGTAACAAAAAGGCCCCAGCAGGGCGTCGGGAGAGTTTTTGGCCCATCCCTTTGGCTGCTAAGCTCAGCCTTTTCCTACCTCTTAGTAAATGACACAGGATATAGATCAGACCTTTCCTCAATCTACCCCCTCGGTATTAAGGGTTTTTTTTTTTTTTTTATTCCCCGGCATCACTTCTTGTTGGATCCTTCTGATTCAGAGCCCAACAGTTTTGTTCCCATATATAATCGTCTTCCTATAATAAAATAAGACAATACCCTAAATCCTTCCTGGTTGCAAAGATTGGGCCTTTTCCTCTTTCAAGCAAGAGGGGGAAAAAAATTACACAATACAAAAGCTGACTGGTCTTTATTCTTTTCCTTTTTAATACCTATTTTAAAGAAATGAGATGAAAAATGGAAGTGCAATGGTCTACCAGCCTTTAATTTTTTTTTTTAAACCCAGTGGCCAGCTACATTTCCAAAGCAGCTACATATGTCTCCTTTAAGTGACCACTACTTGTCTATTTTGTGCACATAAAATATAAACTATTGTAAATGCTATACAGATCCTACAGTGCCAACTTGTCACAAAGTCATCAGGTTTTCTTGACACCTAAAAAGGATCGATCAGGACTTTTTAATGAGGTTCTCCTAAAACGATATGAGCACGTTTTAATCTTATGGAGCGGATAACTCTCTCATTGTCGTCATCTAGTGTTCATGCAGATTAGTCCCAAAGGCTGAAGCTAACGGCTAGATCTAGAGGGACTGAAGACTTCCAGAACATCTACAGTCTGAGACACGTGATCGAGGTTTTGCGAAGACCATTCATCTTTAAATGATCGTCACGTATGCATTTGCCGATTGGCAACAGAGAAGGTAATTATTTACACAGGAAATGTAGGTAGGAGAAAGTTGATCACCAATTATCCTCCTGTGTGAAACATGTTCCAAGAACTAAACGTGTGAAGCATTTCCTGGCTATGTAAATTGTTTGAAATTTCAGAAAATGCCAAATTACAGATGTTGACACGACCCTACTTTTCTACTTTGTAGCACTGGCGTCGCGCAATCTCCATTTTGCATGCGTCTTATCAGAAGCGACGAATAATAAAACAATGCAGACGTGACAAAAGTGTGAAATATACGTTTTCCCCTTAAGCAGAATGATTCGTTCACCCTTGAATGGAGCCCTTTTAAAGGCCTCAGTGCTGCGCTCACTTTCAGGTCCGTCATGTAAAAACAGCACAATTGGTGCGCATGACTGGTACTGGTAATTGCTGCATCTGGTTTTTGTAGGTGTATAAATATTGTGAATGAACTGAGCGAAAAGGACAAAAGCAGAAAACAGAGAAGGATGACAGTTTTAAGACACTTTTTTGCTCGAGTTAAAGTGAATGGTTACAATACAAAGAGGTAAACAGAATCAATAGGACGCACTGAAATAATACACTTCATGAAAGCTGTATAGTGTTTAGGTAAAAAAAGCAGATGATTGTCAAAAGCATAAAAATTACTTTTCAAACATCACTGAAGCTGACGAAGCGCTTAGCCAAAACAAATTTACCTCAATTCCCCATTAATGCAGGGCCTAATAAAAATTAACGCATTTTGTTTTAGTTCTTATTATTAATAAATAACATTCCAGTTAATAGTGTCTACTTTGTTTTACCTGATTTAAGCAGAGTACAATTTGCTTCAGCGCATTTTTATTTAGAAATTAACTAGATAAAGAAGGGAACATTTTTACAAAACTGTTTACTTTTCTGATATGTAGAAATAGCAAAGAGAGTGGCATTAAATTAGATCAATAATAACTATTTGATTATTCGGAGTAACAATCAAGTAGTGAGACCTGGAAGAAAAAAATCCCTGAAAGGTTTTTAGAGAGTCACAGAGATAAAGATTCATAAAACAAGAGTTTGCATAATGCTGTCATTATTTAAAACACATTATTATTTAAAGACAGAAAAATCTCTTCTGCCGTGGCCCCTCTACAAATTACTGCGTTATCTTCAGCTTCTGGGTTCAGATAATCTTCATTTTTACAAGATGCAGATCCCTCGAGAGATATCTAATGTAGATAAGATAGTAAGTGCTCATAACATTTTAACAGAACCCGGTTTGAAAAAAAAAGATCCCAAACTATCCCTTTAAGAAGCTCAGACGATCTGACACTGTCATCCATTCCCATCCAACCACAATTTTGACTTTCTAACAATTTGGATATGAGGAATCGCCTCTAAAAGCACTTCTACAGACTGACCTACAGTAGCTATTCCGACGAGAGTGGGAATGCTGCGAGAATCTCACATGGAATGGTCTAGATTCAC